CACCCAGTGATCTCACATTACTTCATCCAGCTATACTAATCGCCAACAACAGGTGTGTTCGGAGAACCGGAATAGCGATGATTTGATCTTGGATGTAGTAAGCGAGGTACGAAGAACGGACCCATGTGTGGTAACCCATTCTTTAGTTTCTCATTGTGGCCAGGTGCAGTACACAGCACCATCCAGGAGGTGGCAGCAGTGAACTGTAAAGATGTTTCCCAACCGCAAGAAATATGAAAAAAAGAAGAAAATGTTCAATATGTCTGCGCCCTTTAGCAAGGTGGTAACGACGCAAGCTGTTTGTAAATGATGTTAATTGGACGTTTCTAGACAATGTTTAAAGAATTAATGACTGGAGCCTGTTCCGATATAGACACCGCTAACTGGAAAAATGGAGTAAAGCATTCGGCAGCTTGACATTTGATTTCATGATCACGTTGAGCTAGCAGGGAACCTTCAGTGAGTTGTTTACCTCCTCAGATATTCATATCATGTTTTTGTAGATTAGTTCAGGCTTAATAGTAAAAACCCCGCCCATCAGCCATGTTTTGTCAAAGATTTTCTAAATCCAAAAGAATAATCTGTTATTGGTTGTAGTATTCCGCATTATAGCTGCTCACCACTGACTTGAACCTGTTACAAATTTTAAAAAAAGTAAAATTATCACTACCGTGTTATATTTACGCCGAGTTGAAGAATTTTTCTTCACTATATAGGCTGTATCGTAACCCTTGTGTTGTCCTCGGGTCAAAAATGGTCTCTAGCATCTCGGAGTAATTTATTTGTGTTAAAACATAAATAAATACCAACGTTTGTATTTTTGAATGAGATTTGGCTAAATGGACTAGAGACCGGCAAAAATCAAGTCTGTTTACTACGCAGTGAATATTTCATCCACATCTACATGTAAAATGGCTTACAGAAGACTTGTAAACCTTCTGCCCAGAGTAAAAGAGTCTGCCTATAACCTATGGATACCTCACTTTCAAAAACCACCATATGTCTTAAACCAAAGTGTTGAAAATAGAGCTAAAAGAACTCTTTACACCAGCACACCACTGATGGTGAAGTTGCTGTCAGTGGATGAGATTTTTGCCAGGAAGTCTCTGCAGGAGCACCTGAGGAAGACTGAGGCACAGTACAGCGAATGTTTACAAGCCATCAGTGGTAATTTGGGAGAGGAGCAGTGCAGTGAGGATGAACTGAAGGCCAACAGGACCAAAGTGTCCCTTCTGGCTCCTCTTATCCAGACCATCAGAGAGCTTGACACCAAGCAAAAAGAGATTGCAGAGACTGAGACGCTTCTGAAAGGTTTGTGGAGAAAGATCTCTAATTAATAAGCCACAGTTGGCTCTCACTTTGTGAGAGTAGAATCACTCTCAGATTATGGTAAAAATTGTATTTGTGTCTGTTTTTCCTCAAAGATGAAGACCCATCTTTGCGGGAACTGGCAGAGGTGGAGAGAGCAGGCTTTTTGGAAGATATTCAAACTCTTAGACAAAAGGTAGAAACTTGATTTTTTCACTTTGTGATATCAAGGTCTCAACCGAGCTGTTGGTAAATCTTATTGAGCGCGCTGACAGCGTTTCTCTTTGCATTTTCAGTGTTGTTATACTTGTCGCACAGCTGACACATTATCACATTTCTCCTGTTAATCAACATGCATCATCAAATCAGATTCTGGATCTATTGATTCCAGAGGAGGAGACTGATCTGAGTGACCTCGTCCTGGAGGTCACCGCTGGCGTTGGTGGTCAAGAAGCCATGCTGTTCACTGCTGAGGTCAGGAAGTACATATGTGTATTAGTTATTTTAAATTGAATATTGCTATTGCAGCAGGCCAAAAACAGGATGCTCACAGACACACATGCCATCTGCAATAAAGAATAAAAAAAATAAAGAATTAAGCGAAAGGTTTTTTTTCCTGTATTTACATGCCAACTTCCTCTCCCCTTAAGGTGTTTGACATGTACCAAGGCTTTGCTCATCACCGCAGCTGGTCCTTTGACATCCTGGAGCACACAACCAGTGAGCTAGGTCAGTCGACACATACATTTCTATTACAAAATCTTCCACAAATGTATTTTTGCCATCATATCATTGTTACACCTTTTAAGAAAACTATCATTACAGTTTAAAAAAAAAAAAAGATTCCCTTAATTTATTTATTGGATTTCCAAATGAAGGAAAGAAGTTAAAATAGATCTGTTCAGTTAAAGACACAAGCTCGGCATCATATAAATGAAATCATGTAGTTTACAGAAGCCAATTTTGAAATTCCTATATTTACTCAATGATATATTCATAGCAAAGTAATAATCCTAAAAGACAAAAGAAAGCACAAACAAAAATAATGCCATGCACTAAGAAAACTTCACAGAAAACAGAAATGCTTGTTTAACAAATTTGAGAGAAGAATCAAAACTAATCAAGAATTATTCTTGATTAGTTTTTGGTGGTCTCATTCACGTGGTCACTCTTACGCTTTTACGGATTTTCTCGTTTAGTATCTGTCAGAATCAGAGTGAACTCAATTTTACGTGTCCTTTCCACATGAAAAAGACAGTGTTTGGCAATTTTTGAGCTAGTGACTGAAATTTAGGTTATGAGGTGATGTCTAATTAAAAAAAGAAGAAAAAGTAGATTTGTAAAATATGTGTTTACAAAAAACAGCAAAGGCCTGAAGCTTTGATTTAGTAAAATTGTAATAACTTATATCAAGCACAAGAGGGAGCCCTTGTGTCACAGAAATGCTGAATGTTTGGCGGCATGGATTCAAATAGTGCCAGTAAACAGTGGGCAAAGGTTCATTTTTAAACTTGTAATCTAAAAACATGCACCAAAACAAATACTTTATTCATGGTCACATTAAAAGACTCAATTCATACCTAATTTTTTCCATCTGTTTTTGTATTAGAGTAGTGACATTTTAGCGGTTGTTATAATAAAACAACATCAGGGAAATCAGCTTTTTTATGCTACAGTGCTTAACAAATTCCTTAGACCACCTATTGTAAAAAAAAAAACAACAAAACCCCAAAAATAAGAATACAGAAATATTAAATTTGTTTATGTTAATTTATGTTAATTATTTGCCAAATAAAAAACTGAATTCACATTTTTTCACTGCTCACATATGAACAGGTGGACTACGTCACGCCTCAGCTAGTATCAGCGGCCCTCAGAGCTACAAAAGGATGAAGTTTGAGGCAGGAGTTCATCGCGTTCAGAGGGTTCCCAAGACTGAAAAACAGGGCCGGATGCACACCAGCACCATGACTGTGGCTGTGCTGCCCCAGCCCACTGAGGTACAGCTGCACACGATAGATGGATGTATCCAAATAACAAGGATGCTGTTAAAACAGCTCAGTTTGCTTAAATGAATCCTCAATAAACTTACAAAGTTTCCAGAGTGTTTTGTTCTGTTTAGCTGCTGCTTATCTAAATATATGTAGTATATGTAATTTGTAGTGTTTGTGTGTGTTCTTGTCAGATCTCTTTCACAATAAACCCAAAGGATCTCAGGATAGACACTAAGAGGGCGAGTGGAGCTGGAGGTCAACATGTCAACACCACAGACAGCGCTGTCAGGATAGTTCATCTTCCTACAGGTAAAAACTGTACAAACTGAATGCAATACATGGCAAACAAGTTTCGGGCATCTTTTTATTCTTTCCACTAATGGGGAAAATAGACTGTTTTTCATAGACTATTAATGAAAGGAGATGACAGTGCTTTTTAAAGTGGTTGAAAGGAGCTAGGTTAATTGGTGATTGTAAGCTGACTGTAGGTGTGAATGTGAGCGTGAATGGTTGTTTGTGCATATGTATTAGCACTGCGACAGACTGGCAACCTATCCAGGCTGTACCCTGGCTCTTATCCAGTGGATAGCCTCCAGATCCCCCACGACCCTGAATTAGATAAGGGGAAGAAAATGTAAGGATGGATAAATGCAGTAAAGTAGATCTTTATTGTGTGTTTGTTGGGCAGGTGTGGTCGCGGAATGCCAGCAAGAGCGATCCCAACTGAAGAACAGGGAGAAAGCCATGAAGTCCCTTAGAGCAAAACTGTACAGCATGAAGCTGGAAGAGGAGACCAGCAAACGCTACAACCAGCGGAAAATACAGGTGGGACACAGTGAGATACAAAGGACAGTTAAAGGTAAAGCACAGGTGGAAACCATAAAATACAACATAAAATACAGATGTGATGCTTTGTCTCTAAAACTCTGACATGATGTTGAATTTGACTGGTGTGAAAATATAATGAAAACACGGGTAAGATATTAGTGGTTTTGTTGCTAGAAGTAACAAACGTTGCTAAATTCAGTGCTTCTCCTCTTCCCTCTCCTCCAGATCGGCACTAAAGGACGATCAGAGAAGATTCGGACCTACAACTTTTCCCAAGATCGGATAACAGACCACCGGATCAGCTTGACTCTGCACGATTTAAAAAGCTTCCTGCTGGGAGAGGATCTTCTGGATGAGATGAACTCCTCACTTCAGGAGTTTTCCAACCAGGAGATTCTCATGGAACTGCTGGGAGAAAACAGTCAGGACAGCTCATGACTTTGTCTCTTACAGAATGTGCATTTATTTCAGATAATAATGTAATGCTGGTCATTCCTAGACTGTAAAAACTGTGTGGGGAAAAAGAAGATGATGCATTGAAAGTGGGCACAAATCTCAGCAGTGCCTGATACGAGATGCGTATCTGAAGGTGATAAGCAGCGTCACAACAAACAAAAAAAAGTGGCAAATAAAATGTATGAGCTGTACAGTGATCACAAAGTCGTATGTTTTGGTACCTCATGAGTTGAAGAAAGAAATTCAAAAATGTAATTCTAACACGTTTCATGCAACAGAAATGAAAATGAACACAGCAGATTCTTCATCTGTTTTCATTATAATAGCAGATGGATTCTCCAGTGATTGTCTCATGCTGGGCAGCCTTCAAAAAATGCTGCCAGATGTGTAACAAGTATTAACTGGACAGGACAAGGCAGGAATCTGCTGCCAGGAAAGTCTGAGCTTTTCTGCAGGGGGTGCGTTGATATGGAGGGCAAAGTGGCCCTAGCCCCTCCTGATCTATTACCCAACCCCAATAAGCCAAATCACCGAATCACACATGTGAAGCTACCCACTCACTGTGGTGACTCACTGTGACCAAGGGAGGAGCTGAAAAAAACTTTAGGTGATTTTTTTATGTTAAATGTTCGTACTGCTTAAGCAGGATTATAAATTTTCTCTGCTTCCTTACTACCCAAGAGGTCATCACAGCAGATGGATCAATATATTTGATTTGGCACAGATGTGACACCAGATGCCATTCTACAACCCTCCTGTTTATTCAGGGTCATAACCTCTGGTCTCAAACTAGGGATGTTTTTAGGCAAACATGTTAACCACTAGACTATGGAAACACTTCAGTAAAGACTTTAAAAACTTGTTCCACCAAAATGCAAAACAGTTATTCAGTACAACATGCTATTTAATCTCTTGCACAGTGCTATTAATCATATACTGTCATCTATATTGGAGCATGGGGGTGGGGAAAAAAAAGTCTGAAAATCAAGCCCAGTGATTTACAGTGCTTAATAAATTTATCAGACCATCTGTCCTAAAACCAAGGAAACACGAATATTTTAGAAATCTTTTAAAAACTTGTTTAAAAGTTATATTTTTATTTATTATTTAAATAGCAAACTGAATTCACGTTTGTATACCTCAATTTGAGGTCACTCACTGGTTACAAATGAATCAAGCATAACTAATTTTTCTGCTCAGGAATGCAAGTGGATTACTTTAATTTGGCATCTTAATAAAAAAATAACATGCTTTACTGTTTTACAAAAAAACAGAAAAAATAGTAGATTCGTGGACCAGAACAATAATTAGATTTTAGCATTAAAAATACAATTTTGATTAAATAGCTTGCACATACTGGTGAATTAACCATTACAGAAGCACATAAAATTATTTTGGTAACTACCAATACTGGTAATTTAAGGCAGCTGTGGCATAAACTTTAGATTGAATGGTAGTATAATACATTTGTTAAGAACTGCATATACCATTCTTGTTGAACTGAATCTGATCAGATATTCTGAATTTAAATTTCCAGTAGCAACCTAATTTTATTTATTTATTTTTAAGTCTTTGAGTCACCCTGTTTCTTGTGGGATCTTGCTCTAATTCAACCAAAATGACCTAATTACAGTTCTCTCTCTGTCTCTCTTTGTTTTTAAGATATGGGGTATTGTGCTTTATTTTTATATGGATGGAAAATACATTAAAAGAACCACCCTAAACCACATTTGCACTTTCTGTATTAAATAGTGTAAACTCTACTTTGTTTATTTAGAAGATACACTGCTCAAAAAGAAAATACAGGGAACACAAAAATAAGACATCCCAGATCTGAATGAATGAAATATTCTTATTAAATACTTTGTTTTTTACATAGATGAATGTACTGAAAATAACATTACACAAAAATTATTAATAGAAATCAAATTTAGCAACCATGAAGATCTGGATTTGGAGTCACACTCAAAATTAAAGTGGAAAAACACACTACAGGCTGATCCAACTTGATGTAATATCCTTAAAACAAGTCAAAATGAGGCTCAGTAGTGTGTGTGGCCTCCACATGCCTGTATAACCTCCCTACAATGCCTGGGCATGCTCCTGATGGGGTGGCGGATGGTCTTTTGAGGGATTTCCTCCCAGACCGCCAACTCCTGGACAGTCTGTGGTGCAACGTGGCGTGGGTGGATTGAGCGAGACAAGATGTTCCAGATGTGCTCAATTGGATTTCAGGTCTGGGGAATCTTGCAGGAACTGCTGATAAACTCCAGCAATATGAGGTCTAGCATTGTCTTGCATTAGGAGGAATCCAGGGCCAACCGCATCAGCATATGGTCTCACAAGGGGTCTGAGGATCTCATCTCGGTACCTAATGGCAGTCAGGCTACCTCTAGCAAGCACATGTGGCTGTGCAGCCCCGAAAGAAATGCCACCCCACACCATTACTGACCCACTGCCAAACCGGTCATGCTGGAGGATGTTGCAGGCAGCAGTCTCCACGGCATCTCCAGACTCTGTCACGTCTGTCACATGTGCTCAGTGTCAACCTGCTTTCATCTGTGAAGAGCACAGGGCACCAGTGGCGAAGTTGCCAATCTTGATGTTATCTGGCAAATGCCAAACGTCCTGCACGATGTTGGGCTGTAAGCACAACCCCCACCTGTAGATGTCGGGCTCTCGTGCCACCCTCATGGAGTCTGTTTCTGACCGTTTGAGCAGACACATGCATATTTATGGCCTGCTGGAGGTAATTTTGCAGGGCTCTGGCAGTGCTCCTCCTGTTCCTCCTTGCACAAAGGCGGAGGTAGCGGTCCTGCTGCTTGGTTGTTGCCCTCCTATGGCCTCCTCCACGTCTCCTGATGTACTGACCTGTCTCCCCCATGCTCTGGACACTACGCTGACAGACACAAAAAAAATCTTCTTGCCACAACTTGCATTGATGTGCCATCCTGGATGAGCTGCACTACATGAGCAAATTGTGTGGGTTGTAGACTCCGTCTCATGCTACCACTAGAGTGAAATTTTCTCCTACAACTCCCCACGCTGCCACCTACAGAAGTTCTCTGACGACTCTGCCATAGTCGGCCTCATCACAGGTGAGGACAACTCAGAGTACAGACAGTGGACTCTGGACTTTGTTGACTGGTGTCAGCAGAACCACCTGCTGATCAACGCCGGGAAAACCAAGGAGTTGGTGGTGGACTTCCGGAGACGCAGACCCACCACACTGACACCGGTGAACATCCAGGGAGTGGACATTGAGATAGTGGACTCTTATAGGTACCTGGGTGTTCACCTGAATAATAAACTGGACTGGAGCCACAACACTGATGCTCTTTACAGGAAGGGTCAGAGCAGACTCTACCTGCTGAGGCGGCTGAGGTCATTTGGAGTACAGGGAGCGCTTTTAAAGACCTTCTATGACTCTGTGGTGGCATCTGTCATTTTTTACAGTGTTGTATGTTGGAGCAGCGGTTTATCGGAAGCTGAGAGGAAGAGGTTGGATAAACTCATCAGGAAGGCCAGCTCTGTTCTGGGATGCACCCTGGACCCAGTGCAGGTGGTGGGAGACAGAAGGACTCTGGCCAAAATAACATCTCTGATGGACAGAGTCTCCCACCCCATGCATGTAAATGTTGCTGAACTGCAGAGCTCCTTCAGTGACAGACTGCTCCATCCTAGATGCATGAAGGAGCGTTTCCGCAGGTCCTTCCTCCCTGCAGCTGTCAGACTGTACAATCAGAACTGCTCACAACAAACATAGACGTTTACATCTGCGCTGTAACTGCAATAAGTTAATTAACCGATTCGCACTACAACCTGGTTTGCCTCTTATCTAGTTATTTTTATTTAATTTAATAACTGTACAGTACTCTCTGTATATAGTAACCACGGTCCTTAATCTAAATATGTAAGAAAACTTGTGTATGTTTCTGTTCTGTGTCCTGTGTCCTGTTTGTTTGTATATGTGTCTTTTTGGCTGCTGTTACAACCAAATTTCCCCTTGTGTGACAATTAAAGGATTATTCTATTCTATTCTATTCTATTCTAAATCACTGCCAGCATTCAAAAGTGACCAAAAAATCATCCAGAAAGCATAGGTATTGAGATCTGTGGTCACCAAATGAAAAACCCTTCCTTTAGTGGGGATGTCTTGCTAATTGCCCATAATTTCCACCAGTTGTCTATTTCATTTTCACAACAGCAAGTGAAATTGATTGTCAGTCAGCTTCCTAAGTGGATAGTTTGATTTCACAGAAGTGCGAATGACTTGGAGTTACATTGTGTTGTTTAAGTGTTCCCTTTATTTATTTATTTATTTATTTATTTATTTATTTATTTATTTATTTATTTATTTATTTATTTATTTATTTATTTATTTATTAGCAGTGTAGTTTGGTTGGGCGCTCGTTTTCCTTATGAACTACATCACCCATAATGCTCAGTGCGCTAAGGGAGCTTAATAGAGTGATGGGCTCATCGCTCTACTCCTCAACATCGTCCAATTTCTCCCAGCAGTCGCATCCTGCCTGCAGCTCCATTGCTACCGTTAGCCGAGGCTAATAAGGGAGTAGCAAGTCGTTTTTTACACAGGGAATTTCATTTTCATGTACCTACATTATGTTATTTAACTAAGCAGTTTGTTTGGGAAAATGAATTTGACTTTTTTCCGCGGCGCGGCGTCTTCTGGAAGAGAAAATTCTCCCTGTAAAGTCAGTGTTTTTTCGCGGCGACCTCGGTAGCCGACCGGGTTTAGCAAGTCAGTTTTGGTAACCGATAGATTCATCTGTCCGCCTCTGCTGCTGCTCTGTCGGGGGACAAAATCAGTCAGATGTTGGACGGTGAAAACATCATCGGAACTCTAACATTTTTACACCGAGTTGCGAAGTTGAATTACCAAGGTGAACATCTTTCGAGAAAGAGACACCAATAATAATATTAAGAGGAGGAGAGCGAGAGTTTGGATCTCGCACCGAAGGAAGAGAACCCGGAGAGAAGAAGGGACGCTAGGGGAAGAAAATCCTGATGCCCAGTGATGGCAAACGAGCCAATTATCCTAAATGTCTATGATATGGTAAGTAGAAGCGGAAACGTGAACGTTTTCTTGCTTATTTGTTATCACTTGATCTAAGAAGTATGTTTGAGAGGAGTATTATTTATCCAGGACACAACGCTGAAGCGCGTTATAAAAATG